ATTGGTATGCTTTTAAGGTTGATTTTTGCGTTCTCTCGGATAACGATTTTGTGAATGATGCCGACTTTGCAAGTGTGGTCGTTTACATGTTCTGTGAGGAAGTACATTCAAGGAGAGGTCGGGAGTCATAAAGTACTTCGTAGTGGTTTACCTTCTTTGGGGGAACTGCCGTTTTCCTGTTTCACTTTTGTTTACTTCTATTTAGCGGAAGTCGTACCATTTTCCTATCGTGTTTTTCCTCCTTAATGATTACGAGTAGACGCGTTCCAAAAAAGGGTAACTGGAAGACTAGTCGTTTCATGAGATAAAAGTGTCCGCGTTATGTCGAATAATACATAAGTGTCAAATGATATGTTACTGTACAGTTTACGTAGATCCAAATGTAAGCAGAAGTGGCCCAACAGGTGGTATGGTTTAGTGTTAGGTGGACGGTCGGTGTTAGGTGGTTCAAGTTTTGAAAATTTTAAGCAAAAAAGAAAATTGAGCACTAGTGAAATGCTGCAAATTCAATCACCCCTTGATGCTTTTGAGAAATCAAAGAAGTGATTTTGGAAGAAGCAACAACGCAAAAATTTTTGTAGTTTAATCTAGTGGCGTCTCAATTACACTGGTGCTTTTTGCAGGCGTTGTTTGGTACGCCGTTTACATAAGCTAAGGTCCACTGCAGATGGAAATTTCAATGAGCTGTACCGCTGAAAAGCAAATAAACAGGAAGAGGCTCCCGTAAGTTCGGAGTAGAAGGGTATCATTGCTGGGGACCGAGAGCAATAATAGATAATCATGAGAGGTGCTGGAGTCAATAAAAGGGAACTACATCGGCAGCTTAGAAACTCTGGATCAAAAGGATCGTGGCCAGGGAAGAAAATCAAGGAACAATAATAATGGATGGACGGCGGTGATAGTAAACAGGAGGGGAGGCTCCAGGGGGACTAGGAAGTGAAGACTTCGAGATAATTTGATTTTTCTGTTCCTTGTCTGCAGGAAGTCTATATTGTTTTTTTTTTTTATTTTAGGTCGTTGATAATTGTTGTTCTCCTGTGATTTTATGCATTTACGGAGGTTCAATTACCCGAGTCTGAGGTAACAAATAATATATCATTCATCAGTGCTTGTGTCAAAATCCCTGTGGCAGATTTAAGTGGCTATATAATCAAAGCTAGTCATTACCAGCAAAAACAAAAGCGAGAGAAATCGGAATTAAGAGCTTGTTTTTTTTTTTTCATAAGCTTCTTGTCGGCACTAAACATGAAAAGATAATTGAGGGTTTAAAAAATATGGTCTTCAATTTCCTCCTGAAGGAGAGCTCTCGAGAAAAAACGGAAGGTTATTCGAAAGAGACGGTGTTTTAGACGTTGTAGGTGGGACGCCACCACGTCTTTTGAAGTAAATGCACAATTCAGTTTTGGAGTTGAGATGAAAGTGACAGTTTAAATTCAGCAAAATGGCGAAATGCGCTAGCTTCTAGATCAAAGCACAAATTTTACACTGTGAAGTGTGAATTTAGTAAGTTCTATGTCCTACAACATACTCCGGCTATAATTTGAGTACAATGGCTCGTACTCGTAGAGTTCACCCTTTTTTATGGAGAATTTTTTTGGCTCTTGGGGAAATCACAGGGGCTGATCTCCAAGTATTTTACAAACGCTTTTATCATTGATTCCGGTTTTCTTTACTTTTCTAATTATTTTTGTGTTTTTTATGCTGAGTTCTACTTTTTTGATTAAAAAAGCAAAAGGAGTTATGATGGTAAATGTGGATCTCAGCACATACCTTGTCGTGTAGCTGAAGTTCAGTTGTCGACATTCAAACGGGAATTTGGCGTCAACGTATGAGAAAATCTCAGGTAAGAGGTTTTTTAAAGCTATCAGGGCTCGAAATAGGAAAACTCCAAAGATTCTCAAGTGAAAGCAAAGCGGCACCGGTATTTCCATATTAAGGGAGAAGTCCATTTGCGGAAGGGCAGCTTTAGGATACTGCCTCAAGTCCTGGCGTTATTTTTTGCCTGTTGAATTTACTTCTGTTGTTCTTAAATTGTCATTTGAGTCACTTCAGCGGTGATCCCAACTCCGAAGGTTTCCAGGAAAATAAAAGCGATTTAAGTATTCTTTTATGTTCTAATTCTTCGGAGTATTGAAGAAATAGAAGGCTTGTCGAACAAGTTGTTACATGCATCGTTCTTCGTTTTGAAGAATCATCTTGGTTTTAATAAGTACAGACAGTGCCAAAAAAGTCCCTTTGTCATCAGCAAGCTGTTAGTTGTCATGAAACTGTTGTTAGTATAAAGATTCTAGTCTTTTTAGAAAAAAAAAGAAAGAATCACAGCCAGTGAATAAAGACCATTGCACCATATTGATAGGTAACAATGTAGAAACCAGCACCAGGTGTGAGAGTTTCTGAGTATTCTTAGCAAAAAGCTTTCTAGCATGACTGGCAGTGAAGTCAGCATCTGTTATAAAAATGATAATTAAAATTATGACGTACCGTGGGTATCCTTAAATAAAAAAGGATGTACCAAATTAAACATTTTAATATTTCAAGCTTTACAATTTCATCTTTCAGAAACACTATTGATTTCAGGAGCAGCAATGAAGCTGGAGAAATGAAGAAAGCTTTAAAACTGACAGAAGACACTCGGAGATACGGAAGGATCACACGCTCTAACTATGCAAAAATCTTTCTATATATATATTAAAAAGAATTGGCTGTTTAAAGTGTCACAAAAGTACCTCTGAAAATATCTATAAAATTGTCATGATATCCAATACAGCTTTCATATCCGCCATTTCTAGTTCACATGATTTAAATCGTTGAAGCGATTTGCGTAACAGATCTATCTTTTATACACAAGTCACTGTTTTCCGATGTTAAACGTATAAGACCCTGCAAAAAACGCAAATCATTTTCCCATAAATCCGCAATTACGGCATACGTTATATGGAACGTCACAGCTCATTAGCTAGTTTTCAGCCATTGCTACAGTTATCCGTCGAATGTTTGTCCTTAATTAAAGTGAAAGACAAGCAAAATTTAAATCTATAAAAATTTTTTGACAAAGCATTAGACGAATACTAGAAAAAAATGTGAGGTAAAATATTGTTGTGAAGGAACACTTCCGTTACTGAATCTAATGCTTGAAGAATTATCAACAAGGACAGGTTGCATTTTCTAAAATACTGCACAGTATCATTCATCTCTAAAATGTTTCAACATACACATCTTCGACTTTGACAAGTCAGAAAATTCGTCAGATAGGAGTAATGAGAAGGCGGGAATGCTCGGAGTTTGTTTCCATAAAATCAAAAACATGGTTGCCCAGTTCCTTATTTGGATGATGTCTATTTTGAAAGTATTTTATTTGGAGAACTGGTTATGCTGTTGTAATGCAGGGAACTTGATAAAGTAACACATATTTCATGATTGCCAAAAACATCTTTTTTCAAAGGTTTTTTAAAGAAATGTAGAGATAAGAGGACAAATTTAGCTGAGGGTTACCAAAAAATTCCAAAATTTGAAAAGAAAAGCGAAAAACTTTATAAAAATAGGAAACATTGGGACGGCAAATGGGTTAAGATATCGTAAAGACATGCCAACTTGGGTCCTAAGAAGCGTTTCTTAAAAAATCAAGGTTTCTATCAAATCTATACGGTCCTTTCAGGGTACAGCGTGATAAAAGTTTTTGAATATTACTGTTGTAATTACGGTTTCTTAACAACAAAAAATTTTATGCCGAACTAATGATATTTGAAGTGTCGTGTAAAATGCGTATGTTCGGGTCAGCTTTGATGCAAGCTGCATTGAAAAGCCGCGAAAGCAGTGTACTTGAGGAGACAGGAGGCAGGCTTGCTATTAGATCAGAAGACCACGAAACCTTCTAGACCGTCTGCAACAAAAAAATAGAAGGAAGAAACTCTCATATTTCTGCTAATAAGTTGTATCGTTGTGACATATGTCGAATGCGTATTAACGTGAGTACACCTCAAACTTAGGTAATTAAACTTTTATTACAAAAAAATGGCAAAACATTTAAACGAAATTATTAGTTTGGAATACAAAGCAACAAGTGTAAAAAAATTAAAAATCAATAACAGAACTAAAAAAATCAAAGAAATTGTGACAGATAAAGCTACAGAAGAGAAGGTTAGCTGCCCGGCAGTCACCACAACGCATCGCTATACAATGGTTTCTTTTCCTGCCGATCTGATTGATCTAATCGGCTTCGGTTAACATGCACCTTTTAGCTGTTTCGCTAGCGCCAGTCGCCCATCACTTTGCATGAGCCCAGTCCTTCTAGCATTAACGTTGGTCGTGACATCGTCGGTTAGCAAATTTGAATATGGCCTTCCTTTCTAGCAAGTACCACTTTTGTGCTTTGCCGACGCCGTTGATGTGGCTTTTCAATGTACTTTGAAGCAAATACACTCTGGTAAACGCATCTACTACAACGACGTTTAAATTACCTGAAGTAATATTTATGGTGTGCATCTCTATCAGCTACAGAATGAAATGTTCGTCACAGATTCTGCAGCAGTAACGATTGTGAGACAGTAAGTGAGCGAGCATTTTTTCAATGCTTTCGAAAATGCATAAACATTGAAAAAGCAATAGAGGGCTGGAAAGGTGTAACTTAACAGGAATTTACTCTACCAGGTATCTTCTCGGGTTTTTTAAAATTGATCAAACTTTGGTTTAAAAAAAAGGATTTAGAAAGTTCCCTGATCATCAAATAGAAGAATTGCGCGATCTGGAGCACATCGACCCGATGAAATTCTTTATACACCTGTTAAAATTGTCTTTAAAGTTTAGAAGGTTTAGTTTATTGTGAAAAATAATGAAAAAACTGCAAAAACTATTTAATTTTACTTGGAAAAGCTACTTTTTAATGTTTAGCTTACGTGTCTATTTTTGTCAGCGTACATTTAAAACTGCTACTAATTTATCTGTAGGTGTAACTGATATGAGGCACAGAATGGTTTTAAACGTGAAAAAGCGATATCGTCTCCGTTTCTCAAGTAATTTTTTTTTGTCTTACATGAATCACTTCCGCGGTAGTCTTTGCTAGTCTAAAGAACTAAATATTGAAAGAGTGATGAACGTACGTGCTTTTATACTTCAAGTCAAACATATTTCGGCA